AGCCACTCCTCCCCAAGCCTGTAGCGTCGCAAGGGGTTGTTGTGACCAAAGTGAAAATGAAAATGTTCAGCTCAGGCACATAGTTAACCCAGAAAGGAGAAAACACACAGAGACGTGAACGACCACACAAATGGTCACAGAGAGGTTAGACTACTACAAGGTACAGGGTGGCTGCTGGCTTTCAAGCTATGGCCTTTGTAACAGAATGATGCCCCTTGTAAGTTTTCTGGGAAGTGAACATTATACAGAGTTTGGCATCCAAAAAAGGCAACTATGGTGTAGAAACCTACCTTTCCAGTGTTGAGAAATCATAACGCCCAGCCAAAATAGGATTTCCTCTGGTGGCAATAGCACCTGGGCTCGGGGGAGTGTGAGAAGATGCAGAGTGGCTAACCTGTCTGTGAGCCACTTGAGCAAAAACCATGCCATTAACTACTCTGGTAAGAAGGCATACGCTTTTGGATGCGCATGAGCATTCAGAGTGGAAGGTTTTACACACCGGGCTGGAGAAAGCTACTTTCCTTTCACTCTTGTTTTTCTTTTGCTACAGTTGCTGATAACAAAACTCCTGTGGAAACTTTCTCTCTAGAAAATACAGGTATCTCCTGGGGAACACGTTCTCAACCCTCTACTCTCAGGTATTCTTCAGCTAAAGTAACTGGATCAAATCTCATTTCAACACTATGATTAAAAAAAAACCCAAACAAACAAAAACCTGCACCTTTCATGGTCAAAGAGGTAAAATCACCTTAAAAACAGATGTTCTGAGAACAGAAAAGTGACAACGTAAAAGAGGTTTTTACAGCTGCATGGCTTGGACTGCCAGCACTGCCAGTGCAACCACAATTTAAAACAAGACATACCTGTTTGGGAACAACTTATAGTACTAGCAATGGTATCAGCAGCTCACATCTTACATTGAGGACTAAAATATTAAAGTATGTATAGAGAAAATTATGCCGAACCCCAGGATCGCTTGGAAGTATTAGAGAATTATAGTGAAGGAAGCTGTCCATGCTTTTATAATCGCTTATATTTCATGATCTCAAAATCTGGGGGGAATTAGAGATACCTATATTTTGTGACAGATTATCTCTCGTTACAGATGGGGAAAGAAGTTAAACATATGGCCAAAGGTTTCACAGCAAACCCGTAGTAGGACGGGGAACAGAGCAGGATCACCCCGTCCAGGCCACAAGACAACACTCCCATGCCTTAACACACATGAAGTTTTCCACTTACATTGAAAAACCACATCCACCCACTAGATTTGCTCATTCTGTAGGCAGAGTTCTTCTAACCTCTCAGTGATTATATCTGAACACTGACTCCTGAAGGCCTTAGTTCCCGTCAGCACTACTAGAAATCAAGAGTTACGCTGTGTTTAAATCTTCATCTGGAATTTGAAGCACGTATCACAAGAAGATGAAGCAAGGAGCAGCTATGAACAGCATGCTGCTGATGCAGCCCAGGAAGCCGCATACACACTCTGACTATTCACTGCAACCTCCCTTCTCCGCTGACCCCAATTACCAAGCCTTAATTCAAGCTGCTTGCTGGATAATTTCCCCCAAGAAAACCACCTGGTGCTACTAACTGTACTTATACAGAGGTAACAGACTCAGCGTTTCTGCAGCGCGCAAGGTTACATAGGGACTCACAGTTTGCTTCCTGGCTATGTTGTTGACACTATTTTTTACATCATCAAACTGTAACACCAGTCCTGTTCCAAGGGGCTCTGCTTGTACAAGTTAACCACAGATGTGCAGCTTCTGCCGTCAGACCACATCTCTTTTCCTCGGCTAGTATATTTTATGAGGGTAGTTAAACTGGTCCATGCTAACTGCCAACGCATTCTTAACCTGATGGGATTCCCCATCCTCAAGTCAGCAGGCAAAATTAAACATCCATATAAAAAAAAAAAATCCATGAAGATCCATGACAGAGGAGCAAGTCTGCATCCAGTTCAGCCACTGGAGGCTCCAAGACACTCAAGCAGGACATGCGTCCTGCGTCCTTAATACTGAGGATGGCAGGATTTGAAGAACTGGCTGGACAATGGTGTTTATTCAGTTGGGTTACTCAACAGGAGGCTTTGACTCAACTACTATCAAGTCAGGAAAACCAAATCCTCTATACCACGGAAGTGGTTTACCAGATGACTAGCTGCACAGTGCCAGCCAAATCAAGAAAGGTCGCTTTTAATGCCTTCCTTAAAAAACAAAACAAAACAAAAAAAAAACCCCCCCACACACACACAAAAAAAAAACCCAACAACAAAAAAACTAACCCCCCCCAACCCAACAAAACATTCAAAGGTGGTCCAGAAGAATATGATCCATTAAACCGGGAAATAAAGAAAAAATTCCCTGAGAAATTTTGTACAAGTATGTACAATTTTGTACAATTCCCTGAAGAATTTTTTCTTTTTTTTTTTTTTTAAGTTGTTGAATCCCAATGCATTCAGTACAAACGGTGCTAAAATTAAGACATAGACACCTCCGACCTTCTTCCTAGACCCTTCAATTTTCCCCAGGGAAAAGCCTGGGTAGGACTTACCCGGTAGGTATGCATGGCACACCTCCACACCGAGCAGCAAATTGCTCCACATATTTCTCTAATACCTCTTTCTCCCAACAGTGTGTTCTCTCGGTCATAGGATATGATCCCACCAAAGCCATTCATCCTTCCTGCAGCATCTGCAGATATTAAATGCCCCGGACAGGCTGACTAATGATACAGCAGACTGGGAAGGCCCCAGGTGCTCTGGGAGTTGAAGGTAAGAGCTTTCCTTCGGCAGAGCCGTGCTCTGCTGCGAAGCGGGTAACAGAGTGCGACATGAGCGACTCAGAGCGGGGGACCTGCTCCAGCAGTCTCCATTTCACAGGGGGAAAAGCAGGGATATTAGCTATTTCTCTTCCGAGCTCCTCAGTTTTTACAGCTGGGGCCAGGGCGC